TCATGAACTTGTGGAACGACTGGGATCCAGTGCTCGACCCTCAACGATCCATGCCTCATGGCTTCATCTTCAGTATGGAGATCTTTCTGCTCATTTGTGCCATCCTCATGAGCTGTGTCTCGGCTTGTTTTATGTTTTCCAAGTTACGAACACAGCAAGGGGACACATGGTGCAGAGTCAGCGTCTTTTTTGTGCGGTTGGTGGAGTCTCTGCGGTTGGTGAGGCAGGGCCATCCTGCCGCTCTTCAAGCTCATCCCACTGGCTTTCAAGGCCCAAGATAGAACGCCCGAGCTGGAGGTGGAGGAGCTCCTAAGGGAGCCATTCCCCAAAAGATACAAGGTCGCTCACCATGACCTCGAGGCTGACAGATGACAAAGACACACATAGGCCCATAGGCATATGCGCAGGAATGGTAAGCAGTGAGTGAAGTGGACTAGAAGATGTCCTTCTTGGGCAGAAAAGCTCGCTAGCTCACTTGCTCAACTGGTCGATCTTACATGTTCTTTTCCATCCATCCACCCTCAGTCCTCCAAGTCCCTCCTAGGTTCTAAGCGAGGTGGGAGGAAGCGATTTGCTTGGGCGATTGAACGCCTGCGAAGAGGTTGTGGTGGTCGAGATGGCATGTGCCGAGGGGAATGTCACTGGAAGTGCCCTGAAGCGCCTCATGAATTATTTGCTGAACATGATATTTCCGAAAAACTTTCAGTCAGTATGGGGCAAATTGGAAGGGAAAGGATGGTTCCTGCTCTACGATTCTGCCAGTGATTGGAAGGGAGTCACTGACTCAACAACGACAGGTCTTGCACCCTACCGTGCAAATCAGCAGTTGTTGGTACCTCTTGGTGCTCTTGTTCGAAGGCAGCTAGTCCTAGCCGCGAGCCATGCTTCCACACAACTGATCATCCTGGAAAGGCTCGCCGGCCACATGCAGGTGCACCTCTTTCTGGTGGTGGCGGTAACTAACTTCTTCCTACATATCCACACCCTCAGGGAAGCTGAATGCACCGTGAAGTGGGCACTTCGGCATGATCAGGCATTGGAGAAGGAGCAGAAGCGGTTGCGCCCTCCGCCAAGTCATCGAGCTCGCATCTTTTCGGTCCTTCTCACCACGCTGCTGTTGGCGACGTTGCTCGGGCTTGTCGTCAAGACACCCAGGAGTGGCACGATTTCTTCAGGCCTAGGAGCACTGCTCTTGATGATTGCACTACATGCTTGGGACTTGAGGACTTCTTTGGAAGGTGTAGGCAAGTGGAAAGAGCCCCAGCTCACCACCGAATTCACGGTGTGTGCTGTTGAGCCATTGCCAAGTATGGACGATGACGGTGAGCCGTTGATCTTTACGGAGGCAAGAGATCCTTGACCGATGAACGTTCGTTGCTCGAAGGCTGGATAGGTATCGGATACCGTCATCCCCCAGTTCTCCAATTTCACATGCAAAACAGGCAGAAGGCCCTGTCGGCCCGTCGGCCTTGTGTAATCGGCTGACAGACGACTGATCTTCTTATCTAGCATCTTGCTGATATGACACTCGTGGCCAATAATAAGAACCCAAATTGTGCCAAGAAAGCAGTGCAGGCCAGCAACATGTGGTTCCGGTTGGTTTCAGGGGCTGAAAACATGATGGCTCAGGAATTTGACAGACTACTTTGGGTTTTGAGAGTTTGCGCACGATGCCTCAAGAGTTTGCCAAGGAAGGCCACCACTTTGCAGTGAGCTTCTTGACATGGCTCATGGGCATCGCTGGGCTGAGTGTGGTGATTCTGATGGGCTTGGATGGGATCCAAATGCAGGGTGTCTTGGTGAGAAGGGTTGTGGAGCTCTTGTCCTTCCAAATATCCACATGTTGTGATTTGATTGTTTACGGACTAATTTACGGATGGCAATTGTTTCTAGGATCTGCCACTTGTGCTAAGTTGGTCAGAGATAAGAATATCATACATCGATAAGCCGCTAAGCCAAGCCACCAGATATTTACAAACTCAATCAAGTTCCTCTTGACATCAGGCCAAAGTCTTGACTTTGGCTGCTTTGAGGCAGTCTCATTCACTACTCCTTCAGCAAAGGGCATCTCATCTACTTGGCAGAAACAAGCACACTCCACAACACGTTGCTGCTTCATGATGATGCTGATACATTGATATTCGGCTTTGAAGCAGGAGACCACACAGAGAATGTCAGCGTTCGATTAGAGCACCCGCAACTGGGCAAGGAGGATGCGGAGAACATCTCTTCAGTGTCCCAGGTGATGTCAGACGAACATGCAGGTTCTCCGAAGACCCTGTCTGGTGAATACAAGATCATTTTGCCTGCTGGTCCCCTCTATAGTCGCATTATAGTGAAAGCTGCAAGCAAGCTACAGATTGCGCCAACCGAGTGCCTCGACGTTCCAGATTTGCCTTGTTGCTACACCAAGCCTTAAATCGTTTCTTTAGATGTTCTCTGTTTGGGTGTGATGGTCGCTTTGGTGCCTTCCAATTCCTTCAATGCTTTTTGTGCTTTTTGAGACCTTGAGCTTGGTGCGAGTTTGATTGTCAGGTACATCTTCCACCTGATCCGTGTGGGCGAGGCACTTTCACTCTCATTGCGTGGGCAGGTGGCAGGGACCAATGCCACCTTCAGTGAAGAGCGTCGATGGCTCTTCCAGCAGCGCAACGCAGAATGGTACGTGCCTCGTTGACGGACTCGAGGAGACGGGAGAGACCCCACGGATTGAGAAGGAAAAACCGAGACCTTCTTACTTTCAGTACGTAATAAGATACATTTTAACTTATATAGGTATACTTTTGCCGATTTTTTCCTTTTCTGCTTTCGTGGCCCAGGTTCCCGCCATCGATCCCAAGAGCCATTGGACCTTGGGCGCCGAGCTGCATACGATTGGCTTTGCGCCCCTCACACGTGAAGGGCAGGGCTTGCAGGGCTCGGAATCCTCAGAGGGCCCCCTGGGTCTTACCTTCTACGATCAGGAATGCCGGTGTGGTGTGGAAGTGGCCGGATTTGGCACGAACTGCTTGAGAGAACAGCGCGTTGAGTTGCTCAATTCCACTTCGATATGTCTCTACTCCTTCAAAGCCAAGTCTCACATCCACGTCCATGAAGGTCAGGGGAGCCTTGTCACCGATTCAGGTTTATTGGAGTGGCTGCAGAACGTGAATGTGAGCGGGAAGTTTGCCAAGCTGCGCGTGTCATACTCGGAGCGAGACCCCAACCTACAGCCTGGAGATTGGCAGTTGATTGCGAAGAATAAGACCAAGCTTCCAGCACAAACTAGTGCGCATTTTTCGTTGGAAGTTCGCCGCACGAAGTGCACTTCTCATGCCTACCACATGACCATGGCTTGCAGGTTTTGTGTTTGTACTGCAGGATAGGGCCGTGTTTGCCGGGCCATACCCAGTTTTGTTTGTATTGGCGACCTTTTAAGGTCCGAGATCTGCAACATCTTCAACGTCTCCATGCCCTATGACTCGCTCATGAAGGCTACGCAGCTGGTGTTGGCGACCACTCAGGATGAGACCGATGCGGAGGAAGAGGCGGTACCTTTGAAGATCGTGCCTCATCCACCGCCGATCACGCTGAGCACAGACATGGGCCTCCTGCTTCCAGAGTTTCAGGTGGAAAACAAACGCAGTGAGCATCTCGCACCGCAGGAGACGGCTAGGGACTTCTGCTCTCGTGAGACCTTCAGAGTTGATCGGGCGAGGAGATGATGTTGTCTCCGTTTTGCTTTTATCTTTTTCAAGGATCCAAGTCTTTTGGCTGGCTTTTCTAGCGTAGTGGTGTAAGACAGAAAAGCCCTGCATAGAGGATCCCAGAAAGTGTTCTTCATTGGAGCTTGGCTCAGGTATGCAGGGTGCGACCTGAATCACTTGGACAGAGTAAACGCATCAGTGGCAGATGATCGTTTTCATGTGCAAGTGGAGGTGGTGAATCTGGGCAAGGACTGCTCAGGCTTCTTGACCAGACAAAAGCGCTTCCGCGCGGTTCGAACGGACGCGTCGACCACGTCGTGTGACTACTGCGACCACTATCCGTCCTGGAACGAGTTCTACGACGTCGCGGTGACCTTATCACCCGAGCAGTGCATCAATGAAGCCATCGAGGCCAATAACGTGGAGGCAGTTCATCGCATCAATTCCTGGGCTTTTGGAGATCAAATTACTAAGAATTGGGAGAAGGTCAAGAAAACCTGCGGAGTGGTGCAGAGGGCTGCAAGCTTGGGGAGAGTGGAAGTGATGAAGGAGCTTCTTCTGACACTTCTTTTGAATCCAGATCTCTTTGTTTTGATTGGATGGCTGAAGTAGTGTCAGCCTTTTGGTCGGTTCCAGTTTCATTTTGTATTTCTCAACCAAAACAGAGAGCCAGTAAGGAATTCCACGTGGGATGCCAACTGCAGCGGCTGTGCATCCACTCCGTTGGGCGACGCAGCTGCCGGAGGCAAGACGCAAGTGGTGCAGCTGTTGTTCGACCATGGCGTGGATGCTGGCGCGGAGGACGCCCACAACCGCACGGCCCTGCTTCGTGCAGGCCAACACTGCAACATAGCAGCTGTGAAGCAGCTGATCCCACGTGTCGATGTGAATCACTTGCTGAAGACGTCCAGGTGCAGCGCTTAGATTCTTTTGGCAGCTTTTCCGTTTGGAAGCAAGATACTCGTACAGTAGGAGTCATCGGAAGCTGCTTTTGAATCCATTTACTCCTGATTTCTTGGTCTTCAAACGAATGTTTGCAAGCGTGCCATGATGCGTCTGGCGCCATAAGTCTCTTGCCGAGTCGAGGTGTCCTGCGCCCGTCCTGCTGTCGCTTCTGGGCCGGGGGAGCGGAAAACTGGAGAAGGGTGCATGCAAGCCGGGAGATCTTAAGAACTTGCTCACAGCGCTGGTTGATGGTGGCCGTGCTGCACTCTCCGTGGCAGACCCTCGTTTTTTTCAGATTCGGCACTGTTATTGTTCTGATATCTATAGTTGCTTTACATGCTTTGTTCATTCCCAAAGCAGTTTGCAGTCTTCGAATCATGAAACTCCCTGGCCTGCAGTAGAGCGGAGCACCTCTAATTTGATTGTGTGTCTAGTTGTTGTGAGCAACCCAGGGAAACAAAGGGTGTCCTCAGAAGACTGCGCTTGTGGAGGCAACTCTGACGGCATAACACAGGGTTGGACTCTAACTCTGCCTGTTGAAACTGAGATGTCCGACATGTCGTAGCCCGAGATGTCGTAGGTGTCATCAACATGCGCCCTTTGCAGAGGCGATCGAAAGTGAACGCTTTGACGCACTACCAGTTCTGCTTGCTCGTGGAGCAGACCCCAACATCGAAGGCCTGTGGCCTACGGTTTGGAAAGTGGTCTTTGGATCCATGCACCTAATAACGCCTTTTGTTGTGTGAAGGATTTCTATTTTTGAGCGTATGTTCACATCTTCAGCGAAGGTGCAACTGGTTCTGGGCAGCTGCTGAAGCCATTCGCAGCGCTTGTATACCTGTTTCTTGGCGGCACACCTTGCTGCAGGGACTTGGGCCAGCTTCCTGCCGTTTGTGATTCGGCCTTCAGCAGCCAAAACTCAGTTCGGTGGCTGTGACGAGTGTGTTTGCAAGTATGATCATCATGTTTCCTTTCTGGAGAGTGGTGTTTGCAAGCCTATTGGAACACTCCACTGTTATAAACAAGGAGTCCCTTTGAGTTGCTTTTCATTTTCCCGGATTTCCCAGGAATACTGAAAACGTGGTCCCGAGAGAAGCAACCCAGTGCCTTTTTGGACGGGGTGAAGGGACGCGAAAGTTTGATTGGGAACGTATATGATTTTTAGACAACATGATATCACTTACATAGGTGAAAGGATGATTGCTTCCATTCGCCAAAACACAGCAAATATAGTTATGTTTCTGCAGCACCGTAGTGAAACACTACACTTACAGTGAAGCAAAGCTGGACGTGCTGACAGGCACGAAATACGTACAGCACATGCGGTTGTGCGACCAAAGCATTTTGTGAGCGTAACGCGTAACGGCTCACTTTGTTGGAACTCCAGGTGAACCTTAGCAAGGCTGGTCAGTCCGTGGATTTGACGGTGTTTTTTTCCGATTCCGCAATTTGGCGATTCTCCACCTTGTCCCATGAATGGCAACATGTGGCAACCCTAACCACACATCCTGACGAACTCGTGCGCTGCCGCCCTGGAAGCGACAAAGCAAACCTAAGCCGCTTTGCGGTTCAATCCTTGTGCTTAGTGCACTCTGTGAGGTTCTTGACCGCCAAGATTATCGATTGGCCAAGCTTCGCCCCTGCGGCCGCCTTGCTGCTGCAGAAGGGGGCAGACGTCAATGCCAGAGATCAGGACGGCCTCACTGCTCTGATGGAGGACAGAGGGGATTTGTGTTGTGGATGCTTGTTGGCAGGCTGCTTCTATGTTGGAATTTGGCATAGACAACATCCGCCCATGCCCCTGCCCATGCGTAACATCCTGTAACACATTGAAAGTGGGTCAGCGCTTAGGGCTTGGGGCCATGTACCAGTAACCAACACCTTGACTTGAAGGTCCCTGCTTACGCGAAACTGAAAAGATTCTGCACTTCGGGGTAGAAGAGGTCTGCTCATTTTCGAACCCCCACAGCCGGCTGTGGAACTGGGGAGTTCTATCAGCGTGATATATGCTTCCTTGCCGGAGGCTGCAGCAGATTGCCAGCCAAAAGTTGTGGAGCTTCTCGTCAAGCACAATGCATCAGTTGATCCGAAGGACATCATCGGGCAATGTAAGATTCATCTCCTCATTTTTTTGCGGGAAGGATGATCGCAGGGCAAGTGCGGCAAGTCCTGCAGTTTTGGGTTTTTCAGAGCCATGCTGTTTGCCTTTACCTTCATTCAAAGCAGCCTTTCATTTTTCGAGGGGGAAGGTCATGGTTTTCCACATCGATTGAACTCGCACGGCGATGGTTCTGATGTATGACTAGGACCAGGACAATGGCGATGGCAAGACGGCGGTGGACTGGGCTAAGGAGTATTGCGAGGAGAGCCCAGCAGCTCTTAAGGAGACCGTTCGCTTGTACCAAAAAGCGAACTTGCAAGCTGACTGAGGGTTGAGCGAAAGGAAAGGCAGGGGTGTTCGGTGTTTGGGTTAAGGGCACGAAGGTCAAGAGTCAGGTTGTTTCTTGAAGCCTCAGAGCATTTCTTCCGGAAAAAGAGTGGAGTCAAACTGATGTGAGCTGCAGACTGCAGGAGATTCAAGAGATTCTGAGCAAAGGCAACAGTTGAAGCGCAAGGCTTTGGAAGAAAAGAAGAGGTTTAATGTGCTTTTGCGCTGCGCAATAAGTCTTGAATATATAATATATATATATATGATATAGATTCTACATCAGCTTCGATCAATTGGCCATCCGATGGAGTTCTGCCCCAGCCGCAACGCGCTTGCCGTGTGCGGTGAGGTCATGGTTCTTCAGTGGACTGTCGTGGACCGCAAAGGCGCGATGCGGGTGCTGCTTGACCAGACTCCTCTAACCCTGAAAAGAATGCCCAGCCTGAGTGAGAAGAGCCTACCCCAAAAAGGCAGTTGGGACAAGCTGGATCTTGGTGGGGCTTCTTTGAGAAGAACATGCATAGACCCTTGGCCAAGCTTGTTCGGAGTTGTCTGCTGCTGCGGCTCGTGCTGCCACATTATAGATCTGAAATTCTGATACTTTCTAGACCCAACATGCTCCACCTGGCCTGCAGTGAAGATGCTTCAGTCATGTCAAGCATGTCCCTGAAGTTTTCAGCACTTTTTGTCGCTTGAAGACATGCTCTTCCACTGGAAGCTCTGGACTCTGCCAAGGCTCAATGATAGCCGCTAGCCCTCCCAAACACAAGTCCTTGAGGCGGGCTGAGTGCGCAGGATTTTCAATATCTTGTGATACAATGTGGCCGTGACGCATTTGCCTCCGATCCTGTTGACTCAGTGTGTCCATTTTGTTTCCGCGCGAGCCATATTGGTTTGTTGCAACTCAACTTGTTTCGATCCATCCTGCGCCATGTGCGCTTTTCGTTGGTTGGCAAGTCTTCTGTTTCTGCTACTTGTGGTGAAGGCCGCACGCCCCTTGACCTTGTGAGGCAGGCCCTCGTGCCGCGAGATCCCTTCATCTGTCACGGAAGACGTGCCAAAGCTGCTGGGACCGACCCAGCGACCGGAGAAGTCCTTTGCCGCTGCAACGGGTCAGGGGTTGCGAGCTCGAAGTGCTCGAGACCAGGACAAAGCGTCTTCTCTGCTGTGGGCAACGCCGCGGGGTGCGAATGCGTGGAGAAGGATTATTTTGCAATGAGGGCGAAGAGCCGGGTGGAGACGGCCGCGCTAGCATTCTGCGAAGCAGCGACCAAGCACTTTTCAGTCCCCCCGGTGTCCGCGTGTGAGGAGCAGCTCTCCAATCGCAAGGCGACTGGTGACTACGGGCGCTTGCACGCCTTGCTTGAAGAAGGACCGAAAACAGCTGCTTGGCATTTGGCCCATGTCTGCCGAGACGAGTGCGAAGAGTTGGTGAACACGAACGAGGGGAAACTGATGGAGATGATGAAGGACATGATTGAAGGTAGTGCGAGGTCGAAGCATGAGGTCATGAGAGCCATACCCATCGGTGAGACATGTGCCGATCGCGTTGTGAAGAAGGTCGAAGCGGAGATCTTCGGATGCTGCGGCCGGTCCTGCGGGTGGAACGGCCGCAGCTGCATCTCCTGGCCGTTTTTCGACGAGCGGCAAAAGGCTGATTGGCAGGCTGAATGCTGCACTGAATATAACGTCAGCATCTCAGTGGACTGAACGCATCGAAACGCATTCTTTGCAAGTGCCTTTTCAAAAGGAAGCTCGGTTGGGGCAACAAACTAGGGTT